TCAAAAGCACTTCAACTTTCTAAAGCACAAGAAAAGGAGAAAAATAAATTCTTAAACATAAAATAACACATCATTTCATAAACCAAAGGGGAAAACCTCACGCACTTTTGCAGATTCCTTATTTGACAACTTAAAACCAGAAGGAATTTTTTGTAGCTGTTCAGTACACAGCTGAGGAATCTTAATGGATGAAAGAATATTTGTGTCCTGTTGGCACCCACCACACACCTTCCTGAGTGGTCACACCATAGGGTTCGCAATATTTACCGAATTCCACCATTGTCTGCCTCGGCTGTCATCTTTTATTATGAATCTACATCTCAACCTAAACCTTTGCAGTTAGAGGCCTGATCACGTGATAAGTCAGGGTGAAGGACAATCTGACACTTGTGGGCAAAATAAAGAAATTTAATTAGAAATAAGGGACTGCATCTTAACCCAAGGGGATGACTTGTTGTCTTTTTAAATTATCTCCTTCCCATGAGGCCAGATTGTCCACAATTTCTTCATTATCCTTAATTTATCACCCCCTCTGTTATCCAAGGTAAACTCATACAATTCCCAGACCTGCTGCTCAGAGTTCCCAAATCCTGCTTTTTCTGGGCAGCTAGAAGCAAACAAACATAGAGAAGTATGGAAATAGTCAAGAGGTACCACAAGAAATAAATTAACATTTTTGCGTCCATAAATATTGCTTCCTAAATATGGTCCAAGAGAGGCCTGTGTTGGTAAGAAAGGCTGTGGGGAGAAGGTTGGGAGCATTCCTAGGTCCGTGAACATCTTTCTCCTCATGCAAATATTATACGATCACAAATTCCTGGAGAGACCTGTTTGGTGTGCTCTGTCAAACATGGACCGGTTCACAGCCCAGGGAACACCTTCCTGTGACCTACGAGTCTGTCTCAGGGGGCTTCCACACCCACTCTCTCATCTGAGCTTCCCAAAAAAGCCCACAACATCAGGTTGTTCTTCTAAGTGCCCAGTTCAGCACTGAGAAAATGAAAGTTGACAGGAATTGGAGGAGTTGTTTGAACAGTGGTACTGAAACAATGACATTTTGCCAGAATTCCTTCCCACCAATTTGCTGACCTGTGACATGATAAGTTTTTTTTAGCTTCATAGAAAGAAACAGAAGCAAGAGATTTAATGCTAGGTACAGAGGCGATACTCAGTAAATACTAGTTTATCAACGTAGATTATTGATGTGAAATCTGATGACTCAGTCTATTGATAAAACAGTCAGGGGCTGTGTGAGGAAAAGGAACCACCACTAGAGGAGGGGTGGAGGTTTGGAGGGAGAGAAACAGGACCAGTGACACACAGATGACAGCCTGAGGAGTCTTTCAGTTTTAATATGGCCAAGGAAATGAATGGCCAATCAATGTCATGGTCAGGCAGGAACACTCTTTATAATCACTCAGTATTTTAAACATGTCATGCCTCCACCCTGCCTGTCTGGAGAGGGAGGAAACTCTTCTTAATAAATCTAGTTCTTGCATTTGACTTTTAATTTCCTGAATTCTCCATGAAACTCATTTCATCCAAGTTGGGCTTATGAGAAAATTAAGTCACTTCTTTCAGTTCTATTGTCTGCCACTCACTCTCTGAGGTTACAACACAGAGAGAAAGTTCCCCAAGGAAAAGATTTGTTCTATGATTGACAGGAGAAAGGAAAAAAATATATACATACATGTTCAATGGTCAGGTGGGGGTTGGGGGAAGACATCTCTTTGGTTTCTAGGGAACATTTATCCTACAGCACAACCGAAATGCAGCTGGCAGGATTTACAGGCTCCACAGCTGACCCTGCCCCTGAAACGCTCCGGTTGGGGGACCGGGAGCAGGGGGGCCGCATCTCCTTCACAAGAAACATTCGGCAAGTCTGTGTCTGAGAATCCTAGATGCCCCCTGTCTTCATCAGCAAAACACCACCCTCCTCCTCGTTTCTTGCCCAAAACCAAATTTACACTCAGAAAATTCATAATAGGGTCTCATAGTAGATTGCAACATCCTAGAAAAAGGGAGTCACATTTATTAATTCTGTAAATAATACTTTTCTTGAGTAAACACAAGCGTAATCTCATTGATCTTCATGAGCTTGCTTTTGTGTTTGTCTCTGCAGCCAGCCAGCTGCAATACGTGTGGATTCGGAGTTTGGAGTCCACCAGTGGGCTCGCATCACTGCCGGACCACCTGAGAATCACCTGGATGCTAGCTGACAAGATTTCTGAATTAAAGTTCCTGGAAAGTTAAACAATATCTAATGAGCCTTTCTTACTGAGCAAACACAAAAGAACTCCACTACAACCAGGCACACGGGCAGACACTTAAACCAACTAAGATCCCTTCTTATTTAAAATGACTTATTTAAAATTATTTAAAATTAAAATTATATTAATTTTAATTTTATTTATTTATTTAATTTAAAAGTAAATTAATAATTTAAATCTTATCTAAAATTAAGAGGAGTCCCAAAGTTCAAGGGACTTGGGTTCTAGGCCCAATTCAGCCAGTTCTCTTCAGACTTAGCTCCTCCTTTTTCTTCTCTGCAGCCCTAGTACATCCAAGAAACTGAGCTAATGCTCTTGCTTAGCTTCCCCTCCTCTGAGACTCATCCTGTCCTGTTCTTACCATCATTTTCATCTTCTCGAAACCCGTGCTGAGGCATTTAGCAGAATGGAAGGTTCTAGCGAATGAACCCTTATTGTTAAAATGACAGCTCTACACAGCACACGGCATCGGCGAATTTCTAAATGTGTGAACCACTAAGGAATCATCCGGTCTACGGTCCTCTTCATGCAGAGAAGGAAACTGAGACCCAGAGCTATGAAGTGACCTGCCAGGTAGTGTGGATATGGGATGAGAACCCAGATGTCCTCCCCTCGTCTCCTCACCTCTCCCCTTCTATCTTGGTACCTATTGCTCTGAATAGTATTTACAGTTTTCCATGAAAGCATTTCCATGAAGTCATTTCTCTGATAGTGGGATTTTGGACATCAGCAGACAGGCAAAAGCAGCCTTTCCCAGTGCCACCCAAATAAAATCACACTACCTTGCAAACCCAAACATGAGCATAGACTCCAGCAAGAGAAAGAACACGGACGTGCTCTGCCCCGTTGTCTCTGGGGACACGGCCAAGAGGCAACCTCAGCTCAGCCCTTACCACCTTGCTTTCCCAGCTGCTGTCCAGGTACCCTGCATGGGCACACACCACCCCCATGTGTTGAGTGGATTTCGTCACTCATTATTATCAAGGCTAATACTGGGGGCTTGAGAGACCTGTGAAACTTATTTTTAAATAATAATGAAGTGCTAGAGAGTTCTTATATCTCTAAGACTGTACCCAAACTTGGGAGGTCCACCAGAATTGCATGTGGCAAGGGACAAGAACCAAATTTTCCCCTGAATGCTTTAGGAATATGAGACTCAAAAAATCACATTTATTTAAAAATAAAATCACATTTATTGAGCACTTGCTATGTACCTGACATTGAACTAAGTATTGAAGAAAGGAGTCTGAATCATGGCTGAATCATGGCTCACTGCTTCCAGTGAATGGAGTCACAGGAGAGATTTACCGCATATATTAAAAACAGGCACATTCATTCAAATAGTTTTATGTCAAAACACATTTGGGATGATTTAGGTCTTAACCGATTGCTTTGACATCCTGTGAATTTATCAAAAAAGATGTTATTCTCCATCCTGGCAGACGTTTCATTGTCGAAGTTCTTCAGAACTCCTACAAGTGGCCATTGGGTTCATGAGTGCATCGGTTCACCTTTTTTATTATTTGCTGGAGTGAATGGCAATTCCTTGTCCTTAGCCATTTTGTGTTAAGTGTACCCGGATGGCTCTTCCTCCTCTCTTGATAAGGTAAGCAGGTTTATCCTGCCCCAGAGTAGCTCTTTTGGCTATGTCACAGTTAAAGGCGACTTTAAAGGCAGGTTTATCCTGCCCCACAGTAGCTCTTTTGGCTATGTCACAGTTAAAGGCGACCCTAAGTCCCTCACAAAAGTCACCTCTAACTTGAGCAGCTCCTAGGCCCAAACCAGAGCAACTGAGAAATGTAGGGAAGTGCTTCTGTGAAGCTCATCTCCAGATATGAGGCAGTTTTCTGTTTCCCAAAAAACAGGAACACGGACTACGAGGCCACAACATTAACAGCGTTTCTCATCTGCTCCACTGGAACACGAAGCCTCTCGGACAACCTTAGCTGTACGGCTATCTAAAGGACACAGACAAAGCCCAGACTGGAATACATGTAACAACTCTACCTCCCCTCACCAACGGCGCAAATGCCTCCTATAGGTCAACTACAGTTCAATTAAAAATTAAAAATAAAGCAAACAGAAATGTGCTCCCTCACGTCAGTGAGGACCAGCCACTTAGCAAACACACAGGAACAGCAAGCACCCCGGGAATCCAGCGGTCCTGGGCACCTTATACTCACAAGCAAAAACCATCCAAGGGGCCTCCTCCCAAATCCCCAATTGTTTAGGAGCCATATTTTCCATATTTCTCATTTCTCCTATAACAATGGGAGGTATGATACTACAATTCCATCACAATTAATTTTATTAAAGGCTTGGGGAGAAGTTAAACTAGTATCTCTTTATTGATAACATGCATATCAGATGCCTCTTTTATCCAAACAGAAAAACCAAAATAATACTTCATAATAACTCACGGGAAAACATGAAAACATTAATGAGCTCTATTAACGGAAGACAGCACACTTAAATTAAGCACATACTATGATTTAAAAAAAAAAAAAAAAAAAAAAAACCAGAGAGTAGCATCATCCGTCCCCTAACACTCTCCAATTAATCATTTTAGCTTCCAGTCACATTGTCAAAAGCACAATGTGAAGTGCTTTTGTCAAGAGAAATTGTCATCTAAATCAATCTGTGTCTTGAGGAGGTTAGTCTCCCACGACGTCCATGTGTCCCATGCCCGCTCGCCTTTCTGCCTGAGGATGTTCTCCCGCAACCTAGAGGATTAGCTTCACACAGGCCAAAGCGAGTCTGCATCCTCGTGGGCCACGTGTCCGTTTGTACAGGACAGGGCACCCCGGGGCTGCCTGGCACTCCCTCTTCAGACCCACTCAGACTTTCTGGATCTGGAGTTGGCGAGCCCGTCGGGGGGCGGTAGCTGACCGGATGGATAGCGCCGGCCCAGCCGGCTCCGAGACACTAAGAGATGCTCCTCGGACCTTGTGGGGCCCTCGACCCTGGGGTCCTGGGAGGCCTCCGCCTGTGCCCTACTCCCGGGCTCTTTGCAAGCCGTGGCCAGCTTCTCGCTGGCAGAGGACAGCACCTCGCTCTCATCTTCATCCGGAAGCCGCATCCGCCCCGACACAGCGGACTTCCCACTGGGGCTGTCGGCACCCTCCGCTCCAGTCCACAGGCCGGGGTGGATGGGCGCCCCCTCCTCCACCCACGCACCGTTGCCGGCAATCGGACCTGACCTAGGGCCCAGGCTCCGGGACAGCGGGCGGCCGGCGGTGTGGCCCAAGGGATCCTTGGCGGGGGCCCCGCCCCTGCTCGTCCTCCCACGAACGCTGCAGAGGAGGTCAGCCACACTAAGCAGCAGGGAGAGCGCACTGACCGCCCACATGAAAAGCATCATAATGGACTTCTCCGTGGGCCGGGAGACGTAACAGTCCACCACGCTGGTGCAGGGAGCGTGGGTGCAAGAGAATCTCTCGGGGACCAAGAATCCAAAGAGGAGGTAATGCGAGGCACCAAAAGCCGCCTCGGTCAGCACCCGAAGGAAGAGGTGGACGATGTAGCTGGAGGAGAAATCCGGCACCGTCAGGTGGTAGGGCTCCCTGCAGGGCGGAGGGCGGTGCCTATCCCCAGGGCTCTGGTCACAGGGCTCAGGGCGGGTGGAACCGCCATCTGGCCCACAGAGTCCACGGGCGGCGAGCACGGCCCCTCTGTGGAGCACGTAGACACTGAAAATGGCAGAAGGGAGGAGGACAGACACGCTCTGGATCAGCCAGAACCGCAGCTGGGACACCGGGGAGAAGATGTCGTAGCAAACATTGGCGCATCCCGGCTGCAGAGTGTTACACACAAACCTCTCCTGCTCATCCTGGTAGACAGGGGAGCCTGCCAGGATGATCACCACCATCCTCAGCAGTACCATGAAGATAAGCCAGATCTTCCCTAGAAAGGAGGAAGCAGGAAGGCACCATCACCAGCATACAAACATATTCCCTTCCAACAACAGTTTTGAAGTATTTACAGGGGTGAGACTGGAGAACTGAGAAGTCAATAAGCATGTATTTTAATCCCCACAACACGGGCTAGTTAGCTCATCTGCCAAGTATTTCCAGAGGCCGTGCAATGGGTCAGACACTGTGCAGAACTAGTTGTTTGTAAAATGCTTTGGGACTGACAGCTTTTAAGAAGCATTAGAGTCAAAGATGTTTGATCTGAGTCCACTAGTTCAGACTTTTGGTAATGTCTCCTGGACTGAAAGTTCTAGAAAGAAAGTTGAGCTAAGCAAATTAATAATGTAAATAAGATCTTACTCTCTGCAGATAATAAGCTTTCTAAAGAATGTTAGCACATTTGTGTAACCGTGTGTAGCAAATACAAGCTACTAATTATAGTTCAGTCATCTTTATTTTGGTCCAGAAGATCTTTATTTAATTGTTGCTTTATGGTCCTTGAAATCAGATTTCCTTAACGACATTCAAATTTTCAGATTTTTCAATGATTCAGAATTTATTGTCCTCTATTACAGTTACTATGAAATAATGATGTTCCTCTTTCTTCAATTTATCATGAATAAATTAGATTAACCTGGGAAGTCAAAATAACATCAAAGTCCTATTTTCATGTTATAGGTTAACACTTTTGGAACACGGCCACGGCTCAGTTAAAATAATCAGTAAATATTTTGTGACATGATACAGAAAACATCACCTGACAGCAGAAAAAACTCTATCATAAATAAAGGCAGTTAAGCTCAAAGAATAGAATTATGTGATCAAGTCATTGACTCAAATTTGTAAGACCAAGTTGATTTTGTTTCAATTCTACAAAATAATGAGTAAGAAAAATTTCAGCCACATCATAGGCATATTGTAATCCTTTTCTCAAGTTTCTTTTTAATGTTTTATTATATTATTTTGATAGACCAAGAGAGCACAAGCAGGAGGAGCGGCAGGCAGAAGGAGAAGCACACTCTCCATTGGGCAGGGAGCCTGATGTGGAGCCTGATCCTAGGACCCGGGGATTGTGACCAGAGCTCAACCGACTGAGTCACACAGGTGCCCCTTCTCAAGTCTTTTTTCTAAGATATCCATACTTCTCTAAAAATTTGACACATCTGCCTCAAACTCAGAAATATTTATTACTTTCTTTTTAAAAAATAAACTAAAATTTGGATTTGGCTGAAACTGCACAAGAGAAATGACTAATCCTTGCAAGTTAAGCTTCAAGGAAAAAGATGCACAAGAAGGAAGTGTAATCAAGGCATTGATTTCTCTTTAATTTTTACTACATTGTTCCTTCTCCTGATCAGGTAGTCAGAGAAAAGTTACTCAAAGATACTCCTTCCACTTGCTTCAGTCTTTGGGCTCAGCACCTAAGTATCAGTGAGAAAGCCCCCAGGAGAGAACACACACATCCAAGACTTCCTTAAATGATGGCAGGACTGGGGAGTCATAAAAGAAAGCTTGAGTACACAGCTCCCTTTCTTCCAGCAACAAAGAGGCCAGGCAAAGTGATGAAAACAAAAATACAAGAGCTTTGGAGCTGTTTCCTTACACTCACCCACAATGGTCATGTTGCAGTTGACGGTGATAAGAAGGAATCCCAGCAGATCCAGACGTTCCATCTTTCCCGAGTGTTGCAGACCCAAGGCTGCTGGAGACGTCGGAAGGCTGTATTATTCTCCAAGAAGGTGGCAAATCTTTGCAGGAATAAATATATCTTCTCTACAAAAGACTTAGAGGTGAGAGCTGCAGATATAAATGGAAAGCTTCGAGCTCAGGAATGGGAGGTCAGTTTTCTGTCTCCGAGCTGAGACGGCCCTGAGCTGTTTGCCTTTGAGGCAAAGCATTCTTGACAACTGCAGTGACCAGAAGACAGCAGGAGTCATCTCTCATTGTAGGCTATTCTTACCCTCTTGAGACATTCCAGGCCTGTGGCAGTGCTCACATGTCTTTACCGGGAGAGCCAGATGCTTCAGGATATAATAGAAGTGACTACATTTAACCCAAGAAAGAAAAAGTTCTGTCAACTAGCCAAGGACTCTTCTATACTAAAAAGATGTTTCTTCCTTGCAAATATTTCCACAACCACTTCACTTATTAAAAAAGCACTGAAATGTTCATGTTTTGTCTTCTCTATGAAGCGTAGACTTCCTGTATCATGGACGAAAGCATAAATCTGCATCTTAGACACGTGTCCCAACTTTAGGCTGTGCCTCCGTTATTCTCTAGCTATTTCCTGTCTAGGTGAGTGACAAGAGCTTCCCTGGGGAAATTACCAAATCTCTCCACATATTCTCACCTTGCATGAGGTAGAATCATGCTGTTCCAGTCCGGGCTTGTGAGAGGCAGACACAAAATGATGATGTTGAGAGCTCCTGGCATGGAATGAGTATGTATAACAACTCAAATCAGTGCAATTTCGATCCCTAACTGGTCCCCCAGACCTTCATAGATTGCATCTTCCTTTTGTATCTCTCAGCCCCATCTAGCCCTGGGCTGCTCCCATTGAATCAGCTTAATAAATGTCCATTAAATTTGTAATAAAGTATCACTGCCTGGCCCTGCTGACATCAATCACAGTTGCATCAAAATCCTCTCGTGGCTGTCACCTTTATATCTAGGAAGAACCCATCCCGCAAGGCTGGGGATCTATCATCAGGGTGGAAATTGTGAACTTTAAAAGGAATGATTTCAATTTTCCATGAAAGCTATTCTTTTATTCCCATCTTTTCTTCATTTCTGATCTATTCTTGACTTTAGTAATATCCCTAAAAAGATTCCCAGAAGAGGAGTACAACAAAGGTCCTTTCATCTTTATTCACATGACACGTGAATCCATCCACAGAAAACATTTTGACCCCCTTGAAAGGCACAGTAGTTTTGCTATATTTTAGTCAAATGCTTCAACATGAACAATGAAATGTAGAGAAACTGTGGTTAAGTAAAAAAATATTGAAATAGCCATATGGTTCAAGTATAAAATAAGGGAAAATATCTTTCCTTATTAATAGACTGTTCATGATACTGGCTTAAAATTTGAAATATCAGGAAAGCGATTTCTGAATTTTGCTGTGTGATTATAAATAGTCAATTCTGAACATGGAATAAAAGGGAATTTTGCGACCTAGAGTAAATTGCTACAGCTTTTCATGCCTCAATTTTCTCATCAGTAAAGTAGAAAAAATGTGTCTTCTGCATACACAGAGTGGCTGTGATATGAAAATGAGATTTAGACATGAAAATGATTTTAAAATAAAATGAATTACATGTGCATCTCAGGGTCTACTCCTCTGGGCTCCCATTCTTGGTCTATCCCTTTGCTCCCACAGCATCTTCTGACCCAGTAATGCTGCCTGTTCTCTCTTCACCTTAATCTATTTTGCTCTTGCTTCTCTAAGTCCATACCATCTCCATTCCTTGCCTTTTTTCCTACTAAAGGATATTTTTGCTCTGCCTGGAGATTTAAATTCCAGTAGCTGCAAGAAGATGTGGACAAAAGAGAAGGAGGATGTGGCTGGAGCATCAAACATATGGCTCTCTATACAATTAGCCCAGCCCCCCATCCCAGCCTCCATGGTCTCCCAGACCTGGTACCCATGGCCTGTGTGGGTGGTGGTGGACATGGATGGTGTGCTGGCCAACATCAAGGCCAGCCTCCTGCGGGGCTTCTCCTGCAGCCTCCTAGGGGAGCCACAGGTGGCACTGGAAATGCAACTTGGATTCCCTCAACCAAGAGCAGTACTGAGCGCTTTGGCTGGAGCCAGCAAAGTGGCAAGTGTCTGAAGCCTAAGGCTTTTTCCTAGACTTGGAGCCAATCCCTGGAGGCTTGGAAACCATGCAGGACAACATGCTGGACACTGAAGTCTTCATCTGCAGCAGCCCTCTGATGAAGTATGAATTGGGTGAGAGTACCACTGGGTGGAGAATCAGCTGGGCCCTCAGTCTGAGAGTGAGGTATCCTGATGAGGGACACGAGTGTGGTCTTGGGGGACCTGATCATTGGTAACAAGGACACCATTCAAAGCCAAGAGGAGACCCCAATCTGGGAGCACATCTTGTTCACCTGCTGCCATACCAGGATCTGGCCCTGAGCCCCCACAAGGAGACAGTTGCTCTCCTGGAGTAATAGGTGGAGGCAGACCATAGGCAGCAAGCAAGGGGACAGTGGATGGTAGCTGAAGGAAAGAAAGGAAGGTTGACAGGCAACCCCAGCAGAGCTGAATGACAGGGCAGTGTCATGTTGGTAGCCCCCAGCACTGAGCAGGGAGACCTAGTAACCTCCATTCTCACAAGCCAGCCACATGGAACCTCACAAGATGGCTGGCAAGGAAACATGGTGGGAAACTCTCTCAGGAACCTTTTTAATAAAACACTTTGGCTCAAAAAAAAAAAAAAAATCCCAGAATCAATAGGAAGGTTTCTATTTGTGTGGCTGTAGAGTGAAGAGAAGCTTTGGGGAGTCCTGTGTTCAATTCAATGGAAAAGAAATCCAGTGGGAGTCAGGGACATGAATATGACTGAACTGCACAAGATGGCTCCTGGGATTTATCCACAAATGAAGTGAGGAAAAAGGAAAGAGAACAACAGAACCATACGCTGTCCAGCCTTGGCTTACCTCCCTCCTGATTAACGACATTGCCAATTATTTAGGCCTGAGTTTTACTACCTATAAATTAGAGCTGATACTTGGTTTTTAGAGTTGTTGAGAAGTAGTTAGTTTAAATGAGGTTCTAGCACATTATTTGGCCTATAGGAGGCTCTCAATAAATAACTACAGTCATTTCTCATTATTCATGGTATTTGCATTGCATAAAGTTGCCACAAACGCTGAATTAGAGATTGCTGGGGACTCCTAGGGGAAACACGGAATTGGTCTGGTCACAACATTTTAGTCAGTCAATCAATACATAACCTTGTTTTATGTGTGCTTCTGTTAAACATACCTTATTTAACATGTATGTTTTTTATATATATTTAATATAGTGGGCTCATTAACACTGACCTCACAGCCTATAGTGCTGTAACTCATGCCTGAATGAAACTCAACATGTGTTTTCTCTGTGAGGCACATCACAGGCTTCTTGCTCTCGGGAACATTAGCATGTCAGCATTGTTTTGGGGCTATTTTAAACAGCACAATCACCAACAAAAAACACAAAAGTCTGAGGGGCACCTGGATGGCTCCATTAGTTGAGCATCTGCCTTTGGGTCAGGTCATGATCTCAGGGTCCTAGGATCTAGCCGCATGCCAGGCTCCCTGCTCAGCTGGAAGCCTGCTTCTCCCTCTCCCTCTGTCTGCTGCTCCCCCTGCCTGTGCTCTCTGGCTGTCAAATAAATAAACAAGTATATATATATGTGTGTGTGTGTATATATATATATATATGCATATATATATATATGTGTGTGTGTGTGTATATATATATATGTATATATATTTTATATAACATATACATAAAATATATATACTTTTTACATAATATGTATATTATATTTTTTAAAATATATGTTTTGTGCCCTTCAAGGCACAAAAATTGGAAAAAAACAGCACTAAGTAGACCTACCCCCCGCCCCCACCAAAGGCTTGTTTACAGTTCCTGAAACAAGAAGGCAGCTCATCAACATGTTCCACCTCAGCTGGGAACGCCCAGGCTGATTGAAGAAGTCTGCAGTACTCTGTGCGTGTCCACAAATACCATGACCACCCACAGGTAGAGATTCTGGGTTTACAAAAACAGCTAGCAGTTAGGCAAATTTGCAAATAGAGAGTCCATGAATTATGAGGATTGACTAATAATAGGGACTTACTAGAGGGAAGAGAAACGGAAGCCGAGGAAGCGTGGATTCGGGGAGGGCGGAGTTATGATAGTGGAGGGAGGAGTCAAGACAGACCCCACCCACTCCCAGTCCTACTTCAGTCAGAACACCTCCACGTCTGCCTTCATTATATTTATGTTTTGGCCAAGATCCCCCTTTAATAAAGGAATGTGCCTCTAAAAAGAGATGTTAGGAATGTGGACTATGTAAAAATAAGGATGGAAGGCAGCCTAATATCAACGTTTAGAACACAAGTTCTGGAGCCTGATGAGCTAGATGAATATTCTAGTTTCTTGACCATGTGACCTTGGGAAGTTACTTTCCTCAGTTTCCTCACTGTAAAAGCACATTATCTAATCCCTACCCTGGAATGATCATGAAGAACTGATAGAATACGGAAGCACAGAGAAGAGCGTCCAGCCAATGATGTGTACTCAAACTATTCGTCCTTCGTCTTATCACCCCAAGAATGAGGTGCAAGTAAAGGTGGGGGTCTCACAGTGGCTTCTTCTCCTGACAATGGGTGCCCCAGGACCCTGAGCAGCCAGCCCAGAACCCGGGCATGGCAGGAGGAGGCTCAAACTGGCAAATGATTACTAGGGAAATAGAATTGGTCTTCTGGAAGGCTTGGAAATGATGGCATCTGTTTTGTTTTGCTGTGTGTGTGTGTGTGTGTGTGTGTGTGTGTGTGTGTGTGTGTGTTTAAGGAATAGATTGTCTAATTTGGGAAATGAAGGTTTTCATCATTTCAGGATTTAGATGACTTTTTCAGGACTGGATAGAAAGCAAAGGTTCAGCACCAGCACAACAGACTAATCATGCCAGCAGTCACATTTCATGTGCACATGTAAATCCAGTAACAATTTATGATAACCACTTACTCTTCTGGCAATATAAGCCTAGGTAATCTAGGGTGAACCAGCTCTATGCAGACCTTCTACCACCCAAACCCACACACTCTCCCACGCCAGACTTACAGCTAAAAATTAACAATCTAGGCAACAAGAGATCCCAAAGAACAGGTACAAGGTGGGAATTTTCTTCTGCTGAGGAATTTTCTTTCCCTGTGGTCTAAGAGCTGTGGTCTAAGACTGTATTTTCAACTCCAGTTCAACTCAACTTCATGGCTTTTAGAAACCAATGCAGATGTCTTCTCTCTACCAAGCTGACATTGACAGTGTCCCATGGAATTAGTTTTTGTTGCACTTAGACTGATTATTATAAGCAGAGAGGTATGACTTGTCTGGCAAAGGAGGAAAAATATTTCAGGTCAGATTTTATTTGTGAAGAAAGAAGTCTCCATCATAAGCTTGCTTTATGTTCACAGGTCTTTATGTTAGCCCTTTGAGGGCTGAGTGCTGTGGTTTAAATATTTGTGTCCCCCCAAAATTCATATGTTGAAATCCTAACCCCCAAGATGATAGTATTAGGAGCAGACACAGCAAAAAGAATGGCCTTCTCTGAGCCAGAAGCTTTCCCTAACTAGACACTAAATTTGCCAGCACCTTGATCTTGGACTTCAGCCTCCACCACTTTGAGAAAAAAATTTCTATTGTTATAAGCTACCTAGTCTATGGTATTATTTGTTATAGCTGCCCAAATGGACCAACACATTGTGATGTCAGCTGAAATCAAATCCCATAGATTTTCTCCCCCTCCAGGCAGGAAGGAGTCATCCTGTCCTCATTACTGGTACTGTCACTGCCCTTTGAACTTAGTGATGGCTTTCAAAACATTGTTGATAGTGTGATGAACACAGGTAAGTCAATAACTATTTACTAAGCACCGACTTTGTCTCAGGCACTATCCTAGGCATTGAGGAAATGGCAGAGAATGAAACAGACATTTCTGCCCTCTGACCTTGTTGAACTTACATTCAAGTGGAAAGAAAAAACAAAAAAACAAAATCAATATCTTTGGCAAAATGAATTATTAATTAGATGGTGATTAATGCTAAGGAGAAGAATAATGCAGAGAAGGAAGTAGAGGATGTCAAGGTTTAGAGACGTGACAGCTTCCTTAAGAAGAGCCCATCTGAACAGACACTGAAGCAGGTAAAGGAGGAACACAGGGATATACTGATCCACAAGACCTTCTGGATTGATTCCTATTCTTTCTACTCTTCATGGGCTTACACTATAGAGCACATTTTGAGAGTTTCTAAATGTCAAAAAAAAACCTTTATAGGGCATGCATATGGACCATATTACCTAGTGCAACCTCCCAGGAACATCATTTATGAGCTCAGTCACAGGTTGAAGCACTAGAGCCACCCTACAGAGCAGGGACCAGGTACAGAGTCGAACTGTTTCCCGTTGTCCACGCCATTTCCTCATATGGCCACCACAGGTGTCCAGCAGGGTCTGTACTCACGGCAAATAGGCCTATTCCTTTCACTGGTGGCATTGTGTGTTTGTTTTCAGG